GGATACTAGGAGTTTAGACTAAAGTCATATGTCAATGACACGGACTGTAGACTCTATAAACCCTAAACCGTAAACCCTAAACCCTAAAACCCTCAAACCCTAAACCCTTAAACCCTAAGCCCTAAACCCTAAAACCCTAAAACCCTAAACCCTAAACCCTAAACCCCTAAAGGTTCATGGGCGGTCCTTGGCAGCGCTCTGCCGGCTCCCCATGGTTTCAGCTACATCAGACTACCCAGCATTCTCATGCTGCCCCTCTTGCTGTAGGCAGAATGCACATCCACTCTGCATTGAATGCAAGGGTAAAATAAGTTAATGTAGACCCATGATTAATAACCCCCCTCCTCTTAAGGCCCAAACATTAGGATCCCGATTATAATCCCTATTGAGGGGAGGGGGTTTTATTAATCACGGGTCTGGGTTAATGCTCAAAGCCGGAAGTTTGCAGATAGCCAGGCTTTAAGAAATGAAGCTGCAGTGACACCCCAACCCCTTGCCACTACCTCCACGCCCAAAATGGGCACACCATCCCTGGCTACTCCAGGGGGCCTCGAGCCAAGGTTTCGGAAGTGAGCCGCTGGCAAAGTTGCAATGCAAAGCAAGCAGCACAACGACTGACACTGAGTCCCATGGAAGTTTCCATTCTTTGGCAGTACGACACTTCACTGTCGAGGCTAGTCTCGCCTGTTGCGCTTCAATGGACTTGTGCCATGGAAGCCCGAGTGGGCCGTTGAGACCGGGCTTTATGGACCCCCTGAGGGACACATCTCGCTGTAGCCGGTTGCAATCGGCTTTTGGGAAGCCAAATGGGTGTTCATCAGCTACGCTCACTTTCCGGTGCTTCTGACCAGTTGCGAGAGGCGCTGAAACAACATGAAGGGTTGCACATTACCAAGGCACGTCTCCGGGTTGCGGACATCAATTTGTCTTGAGGAGAGCCTCACCATTGGCAAATGATTGAACTTTGCACGTGCTGAATAAGAGTAGAAAAAAGGCGGGCGACCAACCTACCTCCTATTGTGGGGGCCACTATTGCCTTCTACAAGAAAGTAGGAGCAACGATACTGGTGATGATTCAAATCACAGACTTGCCATCATCGTCATCAATAAACATACCTAAAGAGCAAGTAGGTTGAACATTAGGTTACAGGCCGGCCAACTCCAACAAGGGGACTTACGATGCAACTTATAACCTAGACATTTCATCCCTTTGGCAAGCAACGAGGCGTCAAGATTGCATTAGATGCTTCGGCCGAGCAGCTGCTAGGTTGCCAGGCAGGTCTCTCAGTCCTTTCCAAGCAACTTTGGAAACTGGGGTACTAATGTAGACCCCTGATTAACAAACCCCTCCTTAAAGGGGGCTAAATATTAGGATCCATTATATATCCCTATTAAGGGGACGGGGTTTATTCATCACGGGTCAGGGTTAGAAATAGCAACACTGAAAGTAACTGCCACTAATAGCAACAGTGGTACATGTGGAGCTTCTCGTATTCATGTTCTTATGTGCAGTCAGGGAGGTCTCCGTGCGAAATCTGACATGACTGTCAACATCCCGCCCCCTCAGCGGCCTGAAAGAGAAGGAGCTGGCAACTCAAACTCACTCACATCTTCCACCTGTCAGAAGTCAGTTCTGGTGGTTCCAGTAATTTACAACGGTCTACCATGAAAAGCGTGAAGGATAGACAGACGTCTGTTCACAATGGGATTACTCGCATATAATCCGTTTTTACATTAGAAGCCAAGCCATGCCCACAAGACAGGGCGATAATGAGCGATGTGAGCGGCAAAGCCCTTCTGCGCCTTGGTGGGCCTGGCGACAAAGAAACTGCCGATGCTTCTGTTGACCGCCATAAGCCGCTCCTTTGCCACTTGCTGGACAGAGAAGGCAAATGTGGGGGAGCATTGGTACACGGATGTTAGAGACCCCCCAGATTCAGGCGTGTCCCTATCCACCCAGGACATTCAGTGAGAACTGTTGATTCTTTGCAATCAGGACATGCCTATGCCCCTGTTTCCAGAACTTCACCCGCCTGTCCGGGCACAAAGAAACTGCACGGCGGCACATCGCCATGGAGGTACTTGGAGCGTAAGCAGTGGACCGGGTTCGCCGAAAACCAGGTACACGGCTCCTGAAGTTTGGCATGGTTCAGCAGAATCACAAATACCCTTTAATGACAACAATAACAATAAGAAGAATAACAACAACACTCGCAATAAGAATTTTAATAGAAATAATAATATCAGGAATTGTAAAAACAATAGTAAGACTAAGTAAGGCTTTCACATGGGCATTTCCGCCAATTTATGATCTCTCCGAGCTTCAGTGGCCGCAACCTCTTCGTAACGTGGTCCTTCGGAGCCTCTGCTCACCTGGGTTATAATATCCTGTAGTCCCCTTAGACCTATTATTAAATTATGTGTTGTTTTTGAATAGTTCTGCAGGATTCTACTATAAGAAAAATGCAAAACATTCCTAAGGAGACTGGCTCATCAGGTTTCACCACCTAGCGCCCACTTCTGAGCAACCAGAGGCATGCACAAGTCACGCGATCCGGGGGCCAAAGATAACGACCCAGACTACACGAGCCCGTACGAGCCAAAACCATGCCTCAAGAGCCACGCAATTCCCAACCCTAAACCCTACACCCTACCTGAACCCCCAAAAGTATCTAAAATAATGGCCTTTATGGCTGTTACTATGGGTTTAGGGCTATTATTTTACATACTTTTGGTGTTCAGGTACACCCTAAACCCTAAACCTAAACCCTGAAACCCTGAACCCTCACAGAGCGCATTGATGCACCAAGCCGCGGTCATGCTTGGTTTTGCCAAGCTCGGAACCAGAAAGATGAGCAGCAAAATATGCACGACCTCGCGCGTCGAGTTGGGCTGAAGGATTTCATGCAAAGCCGCAAATGTAACAAGCCTAGCTTCAAGCACGAAAACTGAAATCTACACTTCAATTCCAAAATACACGGAGCAAGCAACAAACACAACACCCTAGCACCCGCATAATCCCTATAAACTCAAACCCCGAAGATCCTCAACCCCAAATTCCTTAAAGCCTGGAACCAGCACCCCTGACATCCTTACAGCCGAAGCCGTTTAAAAGGTGGAGCTGCCGTGTGGAGCACAGCAGCTGCAAGGCACGCCATCCTGGGTTCATGTTAAGGAACTTACACTTATCAAGTTCTACTATAATAAGGAAATCCTATTCTTACTACAGTATATGGTAGTTTTCCTAAATTACTGTTCCCAAAATGGGGGAAATTTATATAGGGCCCCGTATTATAGTGGGAACCCAAACATAGGACCCCGTATTATAGGGAATTTAGACCAATACCCATATAGCCATACTATTAACCCCCAAACCCTAAAGCCTAAAGCCCTAGACCCTAAGCCCTGTTGCAACAGGCTTTCTGAGTCTGCCTGGAATGGGCTTTTAACGTTCGACCACGCTGTAGTCGCGCTAAGCCCTAAACCCTATAGCCCTAAACCCTATATAGTTTTTGTTCAGTAGATAGAATATGGGGTATATGGGAATCTTATCATACTATACCCCCAAAACCATGTTCTATCTACCTAAGGGGGACTAGAAACACTAAACCCCTACTCTGGTAGCTTGGTTCTTTAACAGGAGCCCAGCAGCAGAAGCTGTTCCGACTCGAGGCCTTAGGTAGGTTTTAGGGTTGGGGTTATACAGGGGTTTAGGGTTTAGGGTTCAGGGTTTAGGGATTATAGGGTATATATTCGGGTTATATTGGGGTTATATTGGGATAATGGAAAAGAAAATGGAAACTACTATATAATGGGGTATATATTGGAGTTATAGAGAGTTTAGTGGTTTACGGTTTAGGTTTTAGGGAGGTGGTTCGTGCTTGGGGTTTCAGGCTAAGGGTTTAGGGTTTAGGGGTTTAGGGTTTTGAGGGGCTGAAGGTTTCGTGCTTGAGGTTTCAGGCTTAGGGTTTTAGGGATTAGGGTTCAGCTATTTGGGGATTTAGGGTTTAGGGCTTTTAAAGTTTTAGGGCTTTAGGGGCTTAGGGTCTAAGGATTTCGGGTTTTGGGTCTGGGGCTTAGAGCCCGGCCTTCAGGGCGTAGATCTCGGTCATTTCTACTCGAATGTTAAAGGGACTTAACTGGGAACCCCAAACAGAGAACCTCGAGAATATAGTAGGAATATACTAGAATCTAAGGACCCTGGTAAGTATATTCCTATTATATTCCAACTATATTCTTGGGGTTCCCTGTTTGGGGTTCCCAGTGAAGCCCCTTTAAATGTAGAACCAACTAGCAAACCGTAGGACGGAAAATAGCATGGAAACTTAGGTCGTGTAGGGGAATGCTCATTGTAAATGGGTAGTCTAGAGTTTTGAGCTTAGGGTTCGGGGTTATTAGTGGCCACCCCCCGCCTAACAACCCAGAATCCCACAGGGGACCTGACCTCTATCATAAGGACCCTATAACAAAGAGTCATATGATAGTCATAATTCCTGGAGGGCTGCGGGAACCAAAGTCCTGTTATTAGTTTGACCCTAAACCCTAAACCCTAAAGGCAGGTTGCAATAGCCCATGTGTTGACAGTTGCCCTTGAAGACGACGCAAGCCGCAAGCAAACCGCAGCTTGGAGCTAACATAGCCTGCTCACGGGTTATATAGGGTTTATAGGGTATATATTCGGGTTATATTTGGGTTTAGGGTTTAGGGATTATAGGGTATATATTCGGGTTGTATTTGGGTTTAGGGTTTAGGGATTATAGGGTATATATTCGGGTTATATTGGAGTTATATTGGGATTGGGGTTATATTAGGATAATGGAAAAGAAAACGGAAACCACTATATTATATAGGTTTATATATATAGGGGTTATATTAGGGTTACTGATGCCACAGTGGGTACTGGGAGTTATAACAGTCCCCTAATAAAGCCGCTTCAGGAACAGTTACTGCGTGGCCCAAGTTAGGCTTTTGTTTTTCAATCAAGTTAGGGTTTAGGTTTAGGGTTTAGATTTAGGAAGGCTGGAAGGTTGACTCAAGGCACTTAATCAGTAGGTTAAAGCTGGGTTTACGAGTCCGCAAATTGGAGTTAGCCTGCTAAAAGCCTCTTCAGAAAGATACTAACTAAATCCCTGAACCCTTAACTGTGTTCATCAGGTGTTTTGGGTTCGGGGTTGGAAAGTAGGCTATGCTTAGCTACTTCTGGGGCCCAGGTAAGCTGTAGTCTTAACTCCTCGTATCCCCCCTAATAAGCACCAAAAGACTCCCTATATAATCCCCTGCATAGCCCACTTTGAGGCATTTAGCCTATAGTGCAGGTAAGGATTCTAGTATCAAGTGGCTCGTGGCGTGTTCAGACTCCATTTGGGTCAACTGGTCGCCAATTGGCTATCGCGTTTATGTATCTCAGATGACCGTCCCCAAAAAGGCGTGCTTGGGCTGGGAATATACAGTATCATTGAAGGTTCGGGATTTCGGTCTAGGGGTATATGTACAAGCCAGGCCATTCATGTTGCACTCACTTTGAACGGAGAGAACCCACATACCAAATTTGGCCCTAGACTCCTTAATCGTTTAGAGCCAATGCTTGAAGACCCTCATTGATTTAAATTCCGGCTCCGGGTCAATGATACTGTTGATACTAAAAAAATCCTGCATGACCTTAATTTAGTATAGTACCATAATTCCCAGGGTATGAGGTAGTTAGGGTCATGCAGGATTGTTTGTATCCACCGTAGAACCCAGATTCACCAATCCCCCAGGTGGTTTAGGGATTAATGCACCAAAGAGGCCGCATGATTGAAATTTCTGAGGCTCCCCTACAACAACTTTGCACATGTGCTATAGTCTAGATACTATCCCCCTTTACAACCCCCTTTAAGGAGTTTAGGCTATAGCTCACATGGGAGGTTCCAGGGCTTTAGCGTTCTCTGCTTCATCACAAGGACTCCCACCTGACACCACCAGTCCACCTGCATCGATGCGAAGGTTGCGGCAGGAACAACACGCAATATTCGCCAGTGGTCGAGCAGGTAGATGTAGGCCTTGCGCAGGCGCTGGCAATGAGTCTTGCACTCGCACAAGCAAGACCTACCCTGGGCAGAAAGGAATGAAGGAATGGATCCTAATAAGGGTCGTCCCAATATGGCTAGTTCCCACAATTAGGGTCCATTTTGCTGAATATTACTGTAGGTGCCTTAATATAATCTATAACCAGAGGGGCCCATAAATTCCCCAACTGTGATAGGTTCCCTTTTCTTTCTCATTTCTTCATTCCCCTGCAAACCAGCGCTAAGAAGACTCCAGGCGAGACCGGTGAGATGCATTCCGGCCCACTCTTTTGCTTACTGGTTCTCAGTAGGGAATATGGGAACAAAGTGAATAGGGGCTATATTATACCCCTTATTTCCTACTAACAACCAGTAGGTCTTTTGGCAGCACGAATCTCAGCCAAACCATTCGCGTGCCGCAGCAGCGCAAGGTTGGACCTTGGCCGCACTGACCGATGCATCAGCATTGCCAGAAAGATACATGAGGGCATCCAAAAAATTAGGGTCCCTGCTTGGGCGCCTTGATATGGCTTCTGGCAATAGTAGGTCTGGCAAATACTGACTTCCTAACTACGCTACCATCTGAGTGTCTGAGCAGTCGACTACACCGGCGTGTTTGAATTAATTAGATGCCATCGGTATGCTTATGGTTTGCTTCGTCTTCTGCACAGAAACGCGCCAACCGCCAGACACAGTCGCTGGTCTACACCCGCGCGATCTTCGGGTACAATTGCCACTGCTGCTTCTTGCACATCTTACTTTACCAAGAACGTCCACAACCCACACAACATCTGCATGTGCACAAGTGTTGTTTTACATATGTGCACGTGAATCTACATATGCACGTACTGGTCATATATATGAGCTGCATGCATGTATTCAAGCCCGTGCACACGTATGCATGCATGCGTGTACTCATGTATGCATGTGAATTATGTGTGTAGGTAGCTATGTAGGTCCATATATGGTCAAGTGTGGTGCGCGCACGTCTACACACATGTACATTGTACATATGCAGACCCCTATATGCACGCATCTTACATCTACGCTTTTATCTACACGCCTACAGGCATCTAGATCGATGTACAGATACAAGAGGCCAGGCGGCAGCTGATGCATCATGGCGCGCATCTGCAGGTATTGTGCCCCTCTTGCAGATGCTTGCACAGCACTTCCCAAACCTAAGTCTGCCAGTTATAGATATTTTTCTTCAAGCGCTCCAGGGTTTCGGATTTAAGGTTTTTCAAGGGAATGAAGGCATGGAAAAATGGAGAACATCATATAATCATGGGGGGGTGCATAGGGGGTATACCACGAAGATGACAGACCCATGGCTCACATGTCAACTACGCGCCCCCATCTCACGGAAGGAATCCGAAAAACATCTACACTTGTCGATGATTGTTGGATCGTGGTAAAGTGTGTCTGCTCAGCTAATGGAAATATCAGGCAAGCAGCACACGATGCTCGGCGCAATCTCGCGCCGGACCATGGTGGCCAAAACTTCAAGCGTCTGCACAGCATGTGAAGCGACAGAGCTACTGTGCAGGGAGGCAAGCGTGCCCCACCTTGAAAACCTGACTCATGAATCATTATAGCATGTTAGGGATCAGGATATCCTCCATCCACCGTAGCAACAAATTCAAGAACCCACTGCCTGATGCATAGACATGCAAATCACAAAGATCACGTAGCAACAAGGCACAAATACAATCCTGAGCACGGCCTTGCGCCACTCGCCCAAAGTCTCGTACGCCTCGGCGGCGACGGCGTAGGAGATCTGGTTCGGCGCAAGCTGTGGGGCCTGCCAGGGAGAGAATTACAACTAGGTCACCCACGCAATCCAGAAGTTGAGTAGAACCTGGGATGTGATATGCCTGACTACTTTGTGGCACCCAGCCGCGGCCTGAAACCAGGCTTCATACATGTGGGTGGATAGCGCGGCGTGGTCACCCGCACCGCAGGCGCTCATGACCGCATTGATGGTGATAGCTGTGGGTGAGCTGTTTTCTTTGTCCATGCCTTGGCAACGTGTTTAGGATCTAGGATTTCGGGTGTAAACTGAAGAAGAGTCTTTAGGGCTTAGGGTCTAGGAAAACCACCCCAATAATGCACACTCAAAGGGACTCAAAGGGAAAAGAAAATGGAGCATGAAGATGCAACAGGGGGTTAAGTAGTATATAGGCAGTTATAGGTTACTTGGGCCCAGAGAACCAAGCCCAAATCCGGCGACGGGTACTGTTATCGGTGTCTACATAGGAATCACGGGAGACCCAATGAAGGATTTTCTAATATAACTTTGGAGAACATCCAGATGTTCAAGGAGGGGTAGTTCAGTGTAGGAGGCTTATCTGATTAGTTACAGTTGAGTTTCAGGGCACATTGCCCTATCATTACATAAGGACTATAGCGGAACCATCTTGACAATTATAGTTTACAGCTCCTGTCCACTATAAACCCTACAATATATACCTCCCCTCCCCACCACTTCCGTGTCATGTTCCATGTTCTTTTCCATTTGATTTTCCACCATTCTAAACCCTAAACCCTAATCCTAAACCCCAAAACCTCAAAACCCTGATCCTAGACCCTAAATCCTAAACCCTAAACCCTACTAATCCGGACTCCACTAGCTGCCCTCGAGCTACACGAGAACACGCTGAGCGCATGCTGCCACAATGCCATAATGGCCAAGCCTCGGATTAAGGGTTTGTGGTTTTGGGATTAGGGTAGAAGGATTAGGGATTTGGATTTTGGACTTAGGGTTTAGGTTCCGGGGTTAACGGTTTAAGGTTTTGGGATTGGGGGTTTAGGTTTTTGTTTGCAACGGGTTTAGGGTTCTGGGGTCAAGGGTCTTAGGGATTAGGGTTTAGGGGTTGGGGTTAAGGGTTTAGGGTTTTGAAATTAGGGTTTGGGATTAGCGGGTTAGGGTTTTGGGATTAAGGTTTAAGGTTGAGGGACTAGTGTTGAGAGATTGGATGCTAGATTACGATGTGCTCTGCCACAGCTGCTTCTTGCTGCTTACAGTGGGGAGTTGAAAACGTGCGCACCCCAAAAACCCTCAACCCCGAGCGCTATCTCCGAAACCTAACCCTGAACCCAAACCCTAGACCCCAAACCCCAAACCCTCAACCCCAAACCCTTTTTGCATCTGGGCTCACGCACAGATCCTAAACCCCAAACCCCAGAAGAGGGTTTACATAGGGGACTACTATAGGGGTTATTAAGGGGGGTACTAGGAATTTAGACTATATCCCCATAATCCCCTACATAATCCCAGTTTCCATTTCATTCTCCATTTTTCTTTTCCATTTGATTCTCCATTTTTTAGGGGGATACCAGGAGTTTAGACCCTAAACACTAAACCTTAATCCCTAAACCCTAGACTATAGGGGTTATTGAAGGGGATGCTAGGAGCTTAGACCTTAAACCTAAACCATAAACCCCATACTCTACGGGTTATTAAGAGGGATGCTAGGAGTTTAGACAATGGCTTCCAAGACCCACTAAAGGATCCAAAAAACGGAACCCCTTAGTTACCCCAATGTAGTAATGGGTTCATATTGGGGGGTTCCAGTTTTTTGGATCCTTTAGGGGGTCTGGGTTAGATGGCCCCGTAACCGTGGAGCAGGGAGTTGAAGCTGATCACATCAGGCTTCTGCCTCGCTGATTCCATCCCCTGCAGCCTCACGGGGTTTGGGGTTGAGGGATAGGGGTTTAGGGTTTAGGGATTAGGGGTTAGGGTGTAGGGATTAGGGTTTAGGGATTAGGGTCATGGTTCTATGACATAAGGCTTAGGGTTAGAGGTTAGGGGTTAGGGCGCGGGATTTTCTCCTTGGGTTGAGGCTTAGGGTTTAGGGTTGGGCAATGGAAAAGGAAGTATTCAAGGTTTAGGCATCTTACCCCAATAATGGAGAATCAGATGGAAAATGAAACAGAAACATTGAGGGGCCCCCAAAAATTCCCCTAATTAATGTTGGTGGCTCCCCCCATTTAGGGGGTTTTGGGGTTATGTGGGGCTATGGGATGATAGAAAATCAAATCGAAAAAATGGAAAATCAAACGGAGACTGGCTTTAGATTGAGCTGCAGTCAACATTTCATACTTCATCTAATGGATATAGATTCCTTGTTCGAATCTTGACTAGGGTCTATAATGGTCTATACTAGACTACAAGTTTGACAAAAGCTCATGCAAGGCTTAGACAGGGATTCAGCAAGGCCCCGGCCTCAGCGCATGCTTCCACTTAGGTGGGACTTACCCTGAAAAAATCTCTTCAAGGTATGTACATTTCTTCTCTACCTCCCTGTACGGTGCAGAGCCCCATTCATTCACGTCTTGCTTGAGATGCTAGAGCTCCGAAGTTTTTGATGGAGATGACTTTTTAACTTCACTTACACAAACCCAGCGTATGAACATGGAGCAGGATTTCCCGAAGAGACGCAAAAAGCAGACCCATTTGTACTAAACAGCAGGATTTTTAGACTTCAGGGTCCGGGGATACTGGACATCAAATAGACAATGATATTGAACATCAAGTGGAACCTATGATTATGTTGCATATACCCAGACCCCCTAAAGGATCCAAAAGATGGTAGCCCCCTAATACGAACCCATTACTACATTGGGGTAACTAGGGGATTAATATTAGGGGGTTCCCATTTTTTGGATCCTTTAGGGGGTCTGGGTAGGGGTACCCTAAACCCTAAACCCTAAACCTTCAAGCTAAGTTGCAATGCCAGTGCGTTTGGCCAGGAGCTAGCTTTGGCACAGCCACTAATAGCAGCGTTCAACGTGATCAGATTCGCTGGGATCCTGACTGCGCAGTGGGTTTTGCAGGAAAGGGAACCTTTAAATCCTATGTGAGCTATAGTCTAAACTCCTAGTATTCCCCTTAGTATCCATTAGAAAAATCCCCTATATAATCCCGTATATAAGCCCTCTTTAAGGAATTTAGACTACAGTACATGTAAGTCATGGTTTGGATTTTAGGG